AGCTGACTCGGCTCATAATCAATCCCATATTTCATAAATAGGAATGTTCAGTATTGGAAAAATGTCTCCTTTTGTTCATGTGCATATAATCCAACAAGGCTCAGCACATATTCAAATCCACTTTGATGACTTTTTGGCCAGTTTTATTTTTTCCATTTGCTTTTTATTTTTGCCCACATCTTTTTATTTAAAGGCATAGGGGAACTAATATGATATAAAGTTTAGAGATATACGATTTATGTTCAGAAATCCCTGCCGAAGAAAGCTATTTGTTCAAAACACAAAATGTAAATATGAAAAAATGACCACAGCTGAAAAGATGAGCTGTAAACAATCTTTTCACATATAAAATACAGAATATGTTTTAATAAAATACTGGTATGTTTTTTTTCTCTTATTCTAAATGAGATCCTCCTCAAGATCACCGTCCACCAAGGCATTATGCATCGGCACTTGCCCCGTGTTTATTTGCTGGCTTTATGGAAAAAAAAACAGGCTTTAAAATAGTATGTAACATTTTCTAAAGATCTGCCTATATGTCTAATAAACGGTTTCACTTTTACAAAATCCCATTTGACGGAAACCTTTTACCTTTTCCTTTCGCCCTATGAATTAAAGTGACTATATCGATTGAACTCCTTTTGCTGTGAGTTTTTGAAAAGTTTTTGTTTTGAAATGTTCAGATGTATTATAACCGGAATTATTATTGTTACCTTGTTATCTGTCAGATGAACAAGGCCTTTTGTACTTCAAATAAACAACATTTTCACTCTGACTGAAATATGGAAAGACATCTTATAATTTAGCTTAATGCTTTGTCGATTGAAGTTTGAACTCAAATGGTGTGATTCATGTTTGTCTTTCCTGATCTCATTTTGACATAGTTATCGCATCTCTGTGAAAAGGTTTTGACTCAGGGCCGCCACCTTTGTCGAAAAGACACAAAGGTGATTCATAAAAACCCATGGACAACTGTTCATTGTTTCTATCTCACAGACGATTGTTAGTATCTGGTTTGTTTCCTTGTAAGATACAGTATGTCATTTTGTAGTTTCACACAATACATTTCCCCATTGCCTTTTGTGGAGTTCTGTTTGTAGCCAATTAGGGGCTGTTACTGGGTGGCTTATTGTTTACTGTACCTAATCTCCTTAGTGGTCGTTAAGGTTTGAAACCTGCTTTGTGGTTATTGCCTTTACATGAGGGTCTTACAGAGGATTTACTTGCAAAATTCAGTTTCATATTGTATTTGCTGTGAACCACTGTATATCAATGGTTCACAAGGATTAACCCAAACCAGGAATGATTACTCTAAATTCAGCGAATTATTGAATTATAAAGGAATTGTCTTTAGTGTTAACCAATTTGCATAATGATAATTAGTCCATTGGAAGAGCTCAAATCTTCCTTCCATTGATCAATCTTCCATTGATTTATTTTCCCAATAATGGAGCATTGGATTCTCTACATGGATCAGAATCCTGTATGTTCATGGATTTCACATTCCCTTTCCTGAAACCTGACCTTTTTCCCATTTAAAAAAATCTTTAGGTTTGAAATCATCATCCTACTCTTGTTCTTTATATGACTGTAATATTATAAAAGAACGAATAATTAATAATTAATATTACATTGATAATTATAAAATGATCTTTTTTTGGCCCTTTTTTTCCTCATTCTTGTCCGCGGCTCATCTCATTGGGTCCTTTTTCAGTCCACATGCGCTGGGAGTGGGAGGAGTGTCAGTCTGGGGCAGGACTGAAAATACAGAGCAAAGACAGAGCAGCGTCTGAAGCCACAGCGCGCAGCGGGATTATCTGCACACGCTCAAATGGCTTTGACAGAACGCAGGAAATTAGGCTCAGATTAGGAGGGGTCTGGACTCGAACGGAGCCTTTTTACTCTCTGCACTGGGTAGGGCTCAATGATGACTTGAACATTTATTTTTTTAATCATATTTTTACTTTTATGATTCCAAAACTGAGATAATCTGTCTCTATTCCAAACAGCAGTTTTCTTAATAAATGAATTGTGCACTGCAAGAACTGATTAGAAAAAAGTTAACATGATAAGCTAGACTTGTCAAAATGAGAAAACCTAGTGGAAAACAGAACAACGCAACCACCAGTTTTTATACTTAAAACAACTGTAGCATAAGATTGCATTTATGTTCTGAAAAGCATGCCATATCTAAATATATCTCTCAAATCTTTAAATCTCAGTTAAAATTTGCAGTGATTTTTTTCATCAAAGTCAACGATTTTCAAGGAACATAGACATTGTAGCTTAAGAGTGTAAACAGAAATACCTCTACAAAGATTCTGAAATGCATAAATCTGCTTTTAAGTAATTTTCAACATTTATATGCATTGATTGATTTGAGTTTCATTCCGACATTTCTGACATTTTCTTAAATCTACTTTGTTCTATTCCAAAGAAAATCCAGAGTTTGTCCACATGGCATTTCATGTGTCAGGACATATACTGTGGATTCAATAAAATAAAAACTGCACAAATCTAAAAATAATTTTGTACATACAATATAAAGCATTCTCCCTCAGCCCTATCTCTAGTTCTCTGCCCTCCAACCTTCAAATCTGTGCTTAAACTGGCTAGACGTCCACACAACAGGGATTACAGGCGCACTCGTCACTGCGGCTTTACTGGGGTCCCGTGGAGAGGGGACGGGACGGGATAGGGAAGCGCATTGGAGCCTTTGGACTATTGTTTTGCTGACAATGGACGACGAGGATCCAGGCAAAAGTGCTGGAGGACAGAGGCTGCACGATGCTACGGTACAGTGTGGGGACTGGGGGTCAGGGATGCAGTGCATATGTGGTCTTGTGGTCTGGATTTGTTCATGATTATTGCCTAATACCTTTGTGCAGTTAATTATTTTTTGACGGTAAATCTTGCTTTGGGTTATGAAAGTTGTGAAAAGCCCATTGAGGTGATTATATAAAACATGAAGATTGTGTAAGAAATGGAACAATGAGCTCTGACGTCTAAAGACAATCATCAAAAACATTTTTCACACTGACAGAATGAATTGTAAAAGTCAAGTGGCGACCCTTTAGAAGCCCACATTAGACTACATTCTGAAAACATGCTGGATTGTGGCCTGAGGCTAAACTCTCATCCGTTGTCCCACATATTCATTCCTACATCAGTGTACATCAATCAATACTTTTCATTGCATATTGTCCTGCCCTGGTTTTCTTTACCTTCATCAGGAGGTTGTGTTTGTATTGGAGCATTAGTTTGTCTGCTAGCAACATACTCAGATCAGTCTGGATCCAGGATCTTTCTAAGGGAATGGAACTGTGCCTCTCGGCAGAGGTCTGTGCTCTTTGAGTACTCTTCTAGTTGAACTCGTTTCCTGAAGCACACGTTGTCGGTATGTGTTATAGTAGTAGAGTGGTGCATTGACAGACATGTGGGTGTAAACTGTGACTGTGACTTTTCATTTGCCAAAACAATGCGATACTATGAGCTGCAGCGTGGCATTGTTGAGTCTATGAGACACGTTGTTGATTGGCCCATTATGGGAGCCACACTCTATCAGTTGTTTTTACATTGTAGGAGTAAACCCTCTCTCAGAATGGGTCTTTTTAGCTATGTTTAACTTCAATTTAAAAGAAAAAAAAGGTCTAAACCATTATGGCATTTTTCTATTGCTCCCTCTGATAATGGAAATGTCTTTTAGTTGATTTTGAATCATATAAATATGATTTATTTGACTGGTTTTAGAAATTATTAATATATAATTATGTAGTTACATACTATTGAGTACCATTAGGCTTTGAGCCTTAGACTTTAGAGGAAATATTTGATGTTTCATCTTTAAAAGATAATTATTCCTACTGTGTCTTTTCCACAGTTTATCTAACAATCGTGAGTCTTCCTAAGGTCCTCTACCATCTGCCCTCTTTAAAACGGCTGATAATGAGCTGTAAGTCACCCTGAGTTTTTCAGCTGGTCCCAGATCTGTGAATCTAATCCAGGGTTGTGCATGGAAACCCTGTGTAACTGATCCAAGAAGGCAGTGGGATTAGACCTGTCTCTCCTTGTGTCTGCACACGACACCGCAGGGGGCTGTCACATCGCCATGGATACACGTTTGGAATTTTACATATATGAAAATCATCTTTTTTGAGTTTTACCAAATGATATAATAAAAACCAACCTGTAGTATTTTGCTTCACCCATGGTAATATCAAAAAATATTCACTCTCATCTTCTCACAAAACGCTCTGCTGAATCTCTGATCTTTTACGTTGTAGAGCTGCGAGAGCTTTTCTGCTTTTTTAAACACATGCATTGGATCCACACTAGTTCCGAGAAATTGTTCAATCAAATAAGGGTCATTATGTACAACTGCTTACATTGGCATGTGCTAACATAATGTCATTCATTGATTCCCCAAGACATTTCTGAGATTGGTCTTGCTGATTGATTCATAACTTCATAATAATAATACCTTTTCTACTTTCACATATCATTTTATATTCTAAATATGAAGTCCTGGCAAAAATGTTCAAGATTAAGAGATCCCCACAGTGGGGAACAGTAGGAAAGAGGAGCACACAAGTTAAGTGAACATTAGCTATACAAGCTGAAGCTGTACTTCAAGATAATGTCCAAAGAGAAAACGTAACTAAGAGAGTTACTTTGCTGAGACTAATGTCAGTTTCACGTTTTTCAATGAGTGAAACCAGCTTAAACAGGCTTCAGGGGGCCCAGCACTGATCACTGATATGTTTTCTTTCCCCGTGGGTCCTGATTGTGTTAATTGTCTTCAGCTTTTGACCCCAAGTTGACCTGAGTCGGTCCCCACAGGATGAACCTTTGGTGTTTAGGGTTGATGTGGATATGAGATACCCAAAGATGTGGCTGCTATGAACTCACAATACACTGTTACACATTACACATTTTAGTTTGACATGCATACAATTATTCTTGGCCTTCACGATGTGTATTTGAACATGTTTTGTGTTTAGGTTTGCCATCACCCCGACTGTCAGGAGCTGAACCAGCAGAGCCCATTGCACCTGTGTGAGTCATGTGACTCACGTCGCCACGACGACAGCTCCGACATGCACTTTGACCGGCATCCACGTTTTGACTTGCACCCTCAAGGTACGCTTGGGTCAAAGGGGCTTGAAAATATTACTAATAATGCATTAATAATTTCTTTATATTAGTAAATATTCAGTTCACATTTGGAGTTGAGGCAAAAAATGCAACAATGTTGTCAGTTTCTTGCAGGGCTTTACAGGTTTTGAAAATTAGAAAAATTTAATGATGAGTACAGTTAGTTGAAAATAAAGCCACTAAAACACAAAGTTAGTACACGCAAGTTCTCCATCATTTTTGTCTACTATAAAATTATAGCCTGCAACATGCATCATTGTAAAAAAAAAAAAATCAATCTCAAAAACAATCTTAAAACTGGACTGAAAAAAATATCTATATTGACTATGATTTGTTGATTTACTTGTAGAAACCCAAACTACTACTAGTAGACCATGGTAGTGAGTGGCAAAATATTTTGAATCCTCCCTAAATCCTTGCGTGGTGCTGCAGAATCCAAGCTGGATGTTCACAGTTTGTCCTTTTAAAATGTAATTGGACAGTTCTTTAATGCTCAAACCTATTGTTGTGTTTTGTCTTTTGAATAACTCTAAAAATGTTGTGTGTTTGTGTTGTGTTCAGCCTCCATCCTGGCGCGTAACGTGTCCACGCGCTCCTGCCCCTCGCGCACCAGCCCCCCCTCCGACCTGGAGGAGGAGGAGGAGGAGGTGGGAGAGCGCGGGTAAGTCCTGTTATGTCACACATTTGTGCTCAAAGTTTAATGAAAATGTCCACAATTAATTGAAAGCTTTCATTTTAGCTTCACATCCTGTCAGGACTCGCCGAACACTGTCACTTCTTTTTCTCCTGATAATATGAGCTTTAGCGTGACGTCACAAGAGCAGATAGGGCTTTTGTACTGTGAAGGATTTCCGCTGCTGTTTTTCCACGTGCTTATACAAAAAGTGACATTGGCTCTGTCCTTCATTCACTGTTGTTCAGGGAGCGGAAATCTGGGGGAATGAAGCTGGCAAAAAAGAAACCAAGAAGACGTCACACGGATGTAAGTTATCGACCTATGAGCAAAGAAAACACTCCAATTACCAAACAGAGCGTTGGTCTGCTGCGTAATCTATGACAGGAATAGTTTATTATTACATACTATAAATATTTGACATCTCAATATTGCTCTAAAAGCATGTAAGAAGCCGGTCCACTGACTTCCATGTTGGATCGTGACATAGTGATTAGTGCCACGACCAATTCCTTTTCACAACAAAATGATTTCTTGCATTCGAAAGCCAAATCCCGTCAGACCTCTGAAGCTGTGCAAGGCAGGACCTGGTTAGTACTGTGATGGGAGACCTCTGGGAATACCAGGTGCCACAGTGGAGCGGCTGTGGTTTTAAAGTGGCAACCAATCGTTGTGTCCTGAGGTGAGACACTTCACCCACACTGCCTAGAATAAGTCTGGAGTGTGTGTGGGAATTTGGTGGTGGTCACAGGGGCTGATGGCACATACTGGTTGTTCAGCACTTTGAGTTGTCAATGAATTGTGCTATACAGATAAACTTGCCTTGCCTCATTGCCTCGATTCTGTCAATGTGCCCCAGTCGAACAGTAGAAGTTTATCACCACCGTGTATGGAAAGAATAATAGCATGTTTAAATGTCCTGAAAAGAGCTTTATAAAACCAATGAATTATTATTATTATTATTATAGTTATTATTCAACCAGGTCACAGTGTCTGTATTTGAAAATGTTGTGTTTGTGTGTGTGAGTGTAGTACTTCAGTAGTTTTACTTTAATTTATCATGACTTTTCACTTTGTTATGAGTATAGTTATACCTGGACATTTGGCGCTCCAAATATAAGATGATCATTTCTCAATCTCTGATTCATTCTTTACCGTTAGAAATCACTTTCATTTCTGCATGTTCTTGTTGAAATTGTTACACAATTTACTGGAAAGCACTTCTGTTATACAATCCAGTGTGTGTCTCTTTGTAAAGCGTGCATTTCCATTGACTCCTGTATTCTTCTTACAGTAAGCACATGCTTTGATGTTCAAATAGTTACACAGTGAATCACATTCTCAACTGTTCCCAGAATATGTAAAGTGTGATGATCTTCTCAAACAAATAATAGATCAAGGTCAAACAACTATGAATTTATTGAGCGGCACGGTGGCTGAGTGGAAAGCACTCTCGCCTGTCAGCATGAAGGTTCTGGGTTCAAATCCCGGTCGGAACAGGGCCTTTCTGAGTGGAGTTCTCCCCGTGTCTGTCTGCGTAGGTTTCCTCCGGGTACTCCGGTTTCCCCTACCACTAAAAACATGTGTAATAGTTCAGGGTGAATGAGTGTGTTTGTGAGTGTGAATGTGGGACAACAGATGCAAATTAGCCCATGGCTACAATGCGGAGTGATGTGTTCATTAACATGTACTGTCCCAACCAAATAAACAATACAAAAATACATAATTGAATAAGCTATTTTAACAGTATCCCTGTTTAAATGTGATTGATATTGTTATCATATTATATTCTTTTGATCTAAAGTAATTGCTATCAAGAGTCGATAGTTCTCTGCTCTGTCAAGTATTATAACATAATTCTAAAATTCTGCTCAGGATCCAAGCAAAGAGTGCTTCAGCCTCAAGTTTGACCTCAACGTGGACATTAACACAGAGATTGTACCAGCCATGAAAAAGAAAACCCTCAGGTGAGTTGTGTTTTTTCTTTTATACTTTCATATCTTTTATACTTTTATACATTCTTTTATACTTTCATATCTTGATATAACATTTCTATAGATACAGGTGGAAATTGAAATATTGAAATTGAAAATTGAAATTGAAATATTGTTTATAATTTATTTCTGTAATTCAATATAACAGTATATGAAATAGACTCATATAGACATATGCCAAGCTTTTGTTTGTTATAATTTTGATGATTATGGCTTAACGTCCATATTCAAAATATCAAAACAAAATGTTTTACTTTGTTTTTTCTATTGACATTATAACAAATAAAGGCTCTGCATAAAGGAATTGGTCTATCATATATCAGTTTCACATTGTAAGCTGTGTTACAGAAGAAGTTTTGAACAATATTTTAATTGTCTTGATTTCACCTGTAATGAATTGTATAATACCACACATCATTTGTTTTTTTCCTCAAGATTGTTCAGCAAGAACTGGGTTCTTGATGAGGTTTGGCTTGCTTTTTCCTCAGACTAAAATTTGTTGTAAATCACACAATCTTGCCTCTCTATGATTGGTCACTGCCCAAATATCACAATTCACTGATGAGTTCAACTTTGCAGCTCGGGCAGTGACGTTTGGAGTTCTTAGGGAGAATAAGGACGTGCATGTGTCTTATTCTTCCATACCACTTATATCTACACTAATATCACCCAAAGCTCATATGTAAAAGTGGAACATAGATTGACCAGTTACTCACTCACACAAAAGGCTGATGCTGCAGAGTCTGAGCTGTTCCATCAGTCACTTCACGTTCCTAATAAGAAATTCTAAAGCTTTGTATGTTTTTATGTTTAGGGAGGTTCTGGGTCCAGTCTTTGAGAGAAACGGCATCGAGCTCTCCAGAGTGGACCTGTTTCTGGACCAGTCCAACACACCGCTGTCACTCAACTTTGAGGCGTATCGCTTCGGAGGACATTACCTGAAAGTCAAAGGTACTTCTGTTAAAACATGTTTGTGATTATGGAACGTAACTAGAAGCTAGAAAGATGACTCATTCCAGGATTTGTGGAGTACTATTTCAATTACTATTTCTCACAACGTTTCTATACCTTTAAATCCTGATGCTGCATGTACATGTTTAATCTTCATTTGTAAGACTGCACTTCAGGTTTCTATCTTTTCCTTTATTAGCATTATTGTCACACACATAATACATTTTTCATGCATCCAAAACAACCACAGCAGTTATTAGAAACTATTAATTCTTGTCAAATTCAAATGCAGCGCGTAGGTTACCACATCTTTCATCGTAAAGGTTCTGAATAAAGGAGAATTGTACAAAAGTGTTTTCTGTATCAGTATTCATTTTATTCCTGTTTATTTGTGAGAATAATTGTACAAATTGCCTGTTGTATGCTTTGGATTTCAATAATTTGTTTTAGTGGAAAATTAAATTGCTGTCACTGCTTTTGGACCAGTGTAGTGTGGCTGCGAGGATCAAAGATGCAGCTTGTCCCATATTAAATGCACTCCTCTTGATATTCTGGAGCTGTCCTGTTTAGACTTCAAGGTCTTCATGATGTGAAAAGCAGGAAGGATGTGAGGATAAGAGACACAGGTGTTCAGACGATGCAAATGAGATTGCACTAATGTGCTTCTCAGTAGAGAATTCAACCCTGGTAAATATGCATAGAATATCTGTAAGCAGACAAAAGACAAACTGTATCTGATCTTTCTTCAGCTCTACTCTATGGTTAAAGTAAAGCATGGGCTTGTTACTAAATAAATAACATGAATACATTTGTCACTCTATTTTGAATTAAAGTGTTTTCTTCGTCGATGTGGTGAAAGCATAAAGCAGATTATGGATTCAAAATAATCACAGCTTTCCAAACCCCTCTTTAGAATGATTGGATAGTGTCGTGTTTTTTTTTTTTTTTTTAGATGGACAAGCTAAATATAGGCAGACTAATACAGTAGTTGTGTTTTTGCTGCAATTATTCAACCAAGCATTTCTTTTTCCTCTTCATACTCTATGTTATAAATATTATTTCACATTCTAAAACATAAAATGGCATACTAAATGGGCTCAAATGTAATTTTCAGTGGACAAAAGTATATATTTCTCTAAGGGTAAATCCACTATAATGTGTCGCTCCTTGTGTTTTAGCGCGTCCTGGTGATGAGCTGAAGGTGGAGCAGGGGGTGAAGGACTTGCGGTCACTCAGTTTGCCCAATATGAAGCCATCAGGAGCCCAGAGCCCCTACATCCTCACCCCCGGAGGAGAGCGGCCAGAGCATGGGTCCCTGGGGAGGAAGGAGAGCATCGACCTGCTGGTGAGCACTTTTATTCTTGAATTCAAATGTTAGGGTTGAAACACTTAAGGTTATGATCATCGTAAACAAAAAAGGCCACAGAATTATGTATTTTTGGAGAACACAGGAGTATTTAACGCACAACCACAACTGCAGATTGAGAACCTGCAAAAGAAGTGATCTATTTTACAGGCGAGGCATACAGGTAAAACTCGGAAAATTATCACAAGAATGTAAACAGCTCAAATGAACTCAAATCAATCAAAGTCAATTTACTTCTGCAATCCAACTTAAAATGTGACCCTGGTATATGACAGATGTATTAAACGCAAAGTGAGATATGTCAAGCCTTTTCTAAACTGTCCAAGAGATAATCTCCAGTTTGAGCTCCTCCACATGCAGCCTGGATGTACTACCCACTAGATTTCTAAAGTCTGTTCTGAGCAGTCTGTTACCTTCACTCACACAGATAGTAAACATGTCCCTTGATTCTGGAATATTCCCAAAGGCCCTGAAAACTGCAGTCATCAGGCCCCTGCTAAAAAAGAGCAGTCTGGATGCTACGGTACTTAACAACTATCGTCCCATCTCAAATCTGCCATTTATGGGGAAAGTCCTTGAGAAAGTTGTCTACCTACAGCTTACTAGATTTCTTATAATCAACAACTCATTTGATATGTTTCAGTCCGGCTTTAGACCCCACCACAGCACTGAGACTGCTCTCGTCAAGGTTACAAATGATATCCGGCTGAACACTGACACAGGCAAAGTCTCAATCCTAATCCTGTTAGATCTAAGTGCTGCCTTTGACACTGTCGACCATGAGATCCTCTTACAGAGACTAGAGGACTGGGTTGGCGTCGCTGGCACCGCCCTAAGTTGGTTTAGGTCTTACCTTGAAGACAGGAAGTACTTTGTGGAGATTGGAAACTGTGTCTCAGATCATATGGCCCTGACCTGTGGAGTCCCACAGGGGTCGATCCTGGGACCTCTTCTGTTCAATCTCTACATGCTGCCGTTAGGTCAGTTAATACGCAGAAACAAAGTTTCCTATCATAACTATGCAGATGACACTCAGATCTATGTCTCACTGACTGCAGGAGAACATGGACCAGTGGACTCACTCCTTCACTGTATCCAACAGATCAGTGAGTGGATGCAAAACAACTTCCTTCAGCTAAACGCAGACAAAACTGAAATGATTGTCTTTGGTCCCCAGAAACAAAGAGAGAGCGTCATCTGTCACCTACAGTCTCTCTCCCTAAAACCTTCAAACAAGGTCAGAAATCTAGGGGTAATACTGGACTCAGACTTACATTTTAATAGCCACATCAAATCAGTAACATCAGCAGCTTTTTACCATCTAAAAAACATTGCCAGGATCAAAAACATAGTGTCTAAAGCAGACCTGGAGATTCTTATCCATGCATTTGTCTCCAGTAGGTTAGACTACTGCAATGGCCTGCTCACAGGTCTGTCCAAACAGGCTGTAAAACAGCTGCAGTACATTCAAAATGCAGCAGCTCGAGTCCTGACTAGAACCAGGAAGTACGACCATATTAGTCCGGTCCTCAGGTCTCTGCACTGGCTTCCTGTGGCTCAGAGAATAGATTTTAAAACAGCTTTGCTTGTGTACAAGTCTCTCCATGGCCTCGCACCAAAATATATTAGTGACATGTTAGTCCCATATGAACCAGCCCGGACTCTGAGGAGCACAGGGACTGGACTCCTGTTAGTGCCCAGAGTCAGGACTAAACATGGGGAGGCTGCTTTTCAGATCCATGCTGCTAAAATCTGGAACAATCTTCCTGAAGATGTGAGACAGGCCTCCTCTCTGATAATGTTTAAAACGAGGTTAAAAACGGTGCTGTTTAGCTGTGCATACAACTGAGGGATTTTATATTTTTATCTTTCGTTTTAATGTTCTGTAATTATTTATGATTTTAATGCTATCTTGTTCTGCACTTTGAGTTGCCTTGTGTATGAATTGTGCTATACAAATAAACTTGCCTTGCCTTGCCTTCTCGGTTATAATATTGAGTATTGACTTTCAGCGTGAATAAAAAAACAAAACATCTCTGGAAATTAGAATCTATTGTATTTTGTATTTTAAGTTGACTTGAGAGGGAACCGTTTCCTCTTCATATCACTGATTATCCCATCCTAAAGTGTAACTTGAATAAACATAACAGCAGTAGAGTAAGCAGTGCAAGCAAAAGGGAGGATTTCATCAGCATCAGGTTATTTTTTTCAGGTGATGATTCATTTTTGGTTTAAGATTTCAAGCAAAAAATCCTTTCTATTTTGAACAAAGCCTTACATTTTATGCGTGTTCTATTTGAAACTATTTCCTGGTGTACACAATGTTACACAATGCCAAATTGAAACATTTGAAGCAGTGCACCTCAGTTGAGCCGCGGGTGTGGAATTAACCAGGAAACTCACGGAAACAGACAGAGAAGCTGAGATAAGCCCTTTACTGTCGTCTGGAGTCATTAGTCATAGTAAACACTAGAACACAGATGGTTACGGGAGTCTGGAGAGGTCTGGAAACTGCAGTGAGTGAGTGAATGTGTGTGTGTGTATGTGTGTGTTTGCGTGTGCGTGTGTGGGGAAAGTGACATTAGCAAATGCTCTATTGTCTGACTCCTGTGAGCTGCGAGGTCTGATGTTAACCTCAAGGGGGCAGTAGTTGTTTATAATGTATACAGGTGAAACTCAAAATTAGAATATAGTTTCTCTAATTCAACTTTAAATATGAAACCAATTTATGATATAGACTCATTCCATGCAAAGGGACGTATGCCAATGCTTTGTTATCATTCTGTTGATTTCGACTTAAAATATTAAATAATTGATAATAAATCAAAATATTAGTTTCCTTTTGGTTTTTTAAAAGCTGTCAGTCATGTACCCTTGTTATAACAAATAAAGAATAGGTATATCTCACTTTGTGTGTAATGAGTCTGTCATGTATTAGTTTTACATTCTACGTTGAACTACAGAAGTAAATGGACTTTTGAGATATTTAAATGTTCCGACTGTTTCTCCACCTGTAGTACAAGATTAGTATTATAGTTGTATTTTTTTGTCTTTGATCCTTGACCTTTGTTTCCACTTTCTGCAGACAACCAGGAATTTTTATAACATTGTATTACTGCTACCGGTTGACTTGATAGGCTTCATCGTGATAGAGCATGTGGACTTTATTACTGATATGATTGGTTATTATAGTTTGAACTCATTGCAGTCTGCCAGATTGCATTCCCGCAAGATTATGCAGTTATTGTTTGAAGTATTTTAATTATCATTCATTGTGATTGTCATTTCTGTTCCACGAACATAGACAAGTTGAATTATGGTGTGATATTGTGGAGACATTTTTCAGTATATTATATATTGTTGACTAACAGAATATTTGTAAGAAAATGTATAAATAATTGCGTATTTGTTTATTGAACTAATAGTATATAATGCCTACAGTATTTTATAACAGAGGACTTTTTAAAGCATAAAAATATGTTCATATAGACTTCCGCCAAGAGGTCTAAAAACTAATAAACTAACTACCGGTAACCCATCCATCCATCCATCCATCCATTTTCTACCCTTTAATCCATTTCTGGGTCAGGGGGGTGGCAATCAGAGATGCCACCCAAGTCTCATAGCACCAGCCCCTCACTGACCCTCTGCAGGTGGTGAGTCCACAGGAGGACGGCTGCTCTCTGAGTGTGAGCATAGCCTTGATCTTTCAGTCGGGGCTTTGGGCAAAGTGGGGTTAAGTGTCTTGCCCAAGGACACAACGACAGCAGTCATCAGTGGGAGTCGATGGAGAAGGTGCAGAGGTGGGAATTGAACCCTCGACCTTCTGGCCTTAAGGCCAAAGCTCTACCAACTGAGCTTGTGCTTGTGCTGTATATATATATATTTTTTAAATGTTTTTCCGTTATTTATTTTTGCTGACTGCATCATTAGTCACACTGTTTTTCTGTTTGTTATAGTTTCGATATTTAGTTACTCAATAATTATGAATCATTTCGAAATCATCTATTTTAATACCTGTGACGCATCTGTGAGGCTTTCAAAATGTAATCCCCACCTGTTGATCACGGGATATCCTGACACTAGTCTAACCGTGCAGTCTCATTCATTTATTAGTCCCAAAGAAATGGACTGTTAACAAGGAGATTAACTCAAGGAGATGACGTGGTCAAAACTGAATCAGTTATGGACGCATGTTTGAATAGAGCTTTTGGAACTTTGCTAAATATCTCTGTAGATGTAATGGAAAATTAAAAGAAACGTCATGGGGGTCGGGGATTTTTAACTGTTGAAGCTGTAAGTGATAGTAGTGATATTAAGATTAAGAGATCCTTTATTCCTCCCAGAGTAGGGAAATTTCACTGTTGCATCACCAGTTACAGAGCAGAAGGAATGAGGAGCACACAGAATAAGATAAATAAACATTTACTCTATACTAAATTAAATTAAATCTCTAACTTTATCATCAAAAAGGAGTCTTGAATAGCTATAGCCTCTGCTCCATCTCTTTCATGACCCCCAGTTTGGTTTGAGTGTTGTGTGCACGGTAATTTACAGTGACAGAACAGAGCTGCTGCTTGGGAAACATTCGTCATTAGTCCCATCTTTCCTCAGGCTCGAGTTTGTTGACGTGTTTGTGCTCACATTAGGAACCGAGGGAGTGGTGCGGCTGTCATTGTGTCATCACTGTTTTGTTTTTAAATGTAGAACAAAACACGTCTCACTGAGATTTGTTTCAGGTATTCATTGTATTCAAGCTGCGTAGAGTTTCGAGTCAGTCTTGTCTCGGCCAGGAATAGTCCTCATGCAGTCGCTTTACATTTGGTATTCAGTCTCAACACAGAATGCTTTGGGTTCAACAGTGCACTGCGTTGGAAACTTCCCTCTGACTTCCCACTTAAGATGACTGTCGGCGACCAAAGAAATGCTTGATTGACAGATATTCTTGGTTTCTCGATTGGTCGAATTTAAGTTTGTTCCGCTGCTTATCAGTGCATATTAAAAAAAAAACTAGACAGGTTTACCACATTGTTGTTTTATCATTTCTTTCAGTATATTTTTTATGATAGCTTGTTTGTATTAAGGTTAAAGTGTATATCAACTATAATCAAATAAAAATGGAAACTTATTTAGTGATGAAGCCTATTCCTTAGTGTAAAATCAAGTTGTAATTTCATTGCACTTGCTCATTCACAAATGGAAATATGGAGGCGAGGTGCAGCGAGCTCTGAGCAGGTGTTGCGCTGTGGGCGTGAGATCATGAGTTTTCAATAAGAACAAAGCGCGGTGGACACGCCTTCCTCTGCGCTTCTGTGACCGTTGGCCTCTGTAGATCTGCCTTCAGTCTCTGCCTGAGAAACTTGTCGGTCTGTGCGCTGTATTATCGCCAATGGACCTGAACCAAGACTGCACCAGACTCCATGGAGGGATTCAGACAATGCAGATGGAAGATCCCGACAGGCTTAAATGACTTGAATTCAGGTTATTATAGAGATTTAATTTTTTGATAGAGAATATTTCACCAGTTTGAAGACTTCTCTGACTAGTGTCATACAACGTTGTCTTGAATTAAAACAATGAGTCAAGTTTTTTTATTCTTACCTCGTTGGCAAAAAAGGTCCTGCTTATACAAAGGACATTTTGAGGAACATTTTCAAACAAGTTGAAGTAGTAGACATTGCAAGTAATTTATATTCCTGAATTCAAATTCAGATAATACCCCAATATACTTTTTGTCTGCCTTGGACTGTACTGAAGCAACAACTGAAAGTTCTCCCTCCATGGATTAACTTTTTTGCAAATTTTTGACTACTCTTCTGTCGCTTTTTTGAGTTAGTGTAACTTTGCTACATGAGTAAGATGGTTCGTTTTGGTCGCCTGACGTCCTGGCACAGCTGGGATCTGCTGCAGGTGGATTCTGAGACGGAGTCTCCTTCAGCCGAGAGCATTACCCTGACTGACTGTGAGGTGAGGACAGTGACTGTGACAACAAATGTCATCCTTTTTTCTCAAAGCACAAAGTATTTGTATGTGAACTTTCTAAACTGAACTTACATACTTTATCCACAAGGATCAGGGTCATTGACCGAATCAAGCACATGACAGAAGTGATGTGGGATATTTTACTGGGGAGAGGAGAAGAAATTCATAAACCCTGAATATTTTATTGACTGTAGCTCCTTTTATACCACTCTTTCTTGTATAAGCGCAATAAATGATTGAACAAATAAAAGATACTAACGTTTACAGTGTCATAAACACAGCAGTTCCTCTGACAGTAATAGCACTCGGATTAAACACAGACACATTATTTATCATAAGTGAACAATAAATCCATGTGAAAAGCATTGAGAAAAGTGGTTAACATTTTTCCCCTAAAAGGGAAACATGATATTTGCAGCTTTAGATTAGAATATTGTCAAAAGGGATCTCTTCAATTTTCAGATTTTCAGATCGAGCTCATGTACACTACCGTTCAAAGGTTTGGGGTCACCCAAGTGTTTTCCATGAAAAGTCACACTTATTCACCACCATACGTTGTGAAATGATTAGAAAATAGAGTCAAGACATTGACAAGGTTAGAAATAAGGATTTGTATTTGAAATAAGATTTGTTTTACATCTAACTTTGCTTTCGTCAAAGAAAGCAAAGCATTGCACCAAAAACCAGACATTTGCAGCTAGAACAGTCATTTACCACATAAGCAATGTATAGAGTGTATTTCTTTACAGTTAAGACTAATTTAAAGTTATCTACAGTGCATCTCCTTCAAAAATAAGGATATTTCAATGTGACCCTAAACTTTTGAACGGTAGTATATATGCAACATAATCAGGATTAACTACGGTGCTTTTATATAAGTCTATTACGCTGAATCTGGAGTAATCACATTACAAAGTTAGATTCCTTTAGATTTAATCATAGCACAGTATCAGTGCAGATCATCACTGTTGTTTTCTTGTTATATTGATCCACTTATGGCCTGTTTATTCTTCCTGGTTTTTCACACGTGACGATAACAGTGTCTCATTCTTTATCAGACTTCCATGATTAACGATGATCAAGCAGTGTTATCACTGACCCAGGGGCTCGCGGACAAGAGCACTGCAAAAATCAGCTCAAATCATTTTGAATTTTGCACTGAACTTGCAAAATAACTTGCAAATATTGGGCATCATCTCAATTATTCTTTTTTGTCATTTCTTTGTGCATTAAATATGCCACATTGTCCTGTCATGAACAAACAAACCTGCTTATTATAAGAAACTTATTTTGTAACAATAGCTGTTGAGTTGGCATGACAACAAAAAGCAAAAACTCACTTTACATTCTCATATTTGTTCTTGTGTGCTATCCTTCATGTGTTGTTGTGACACGTTTGCCTATTTGAAAACAATTGTACCATTTACAGATCTTTCCTCTTTCCAGGCCAAGGTTAATGCCAGTGATAAGATAAACTTTGAGTGGACACACAGCTCGATGTGGTCAAACATAAGGCTCTCTGTGCAGCAGTGAGAGGAGTTTCCCAAAACACTTTTGAACGAATATGAGAAAATACTACTCCTTTGGTGTTCATTAAGACGAATGATGCGTCCAGTAGTTCTAGACATTTTAATTTCTTCTCAATTCATCCCACTTTCAAGTTGGATAAACATTGCTTGAAGTTTTTTCTTGATTTGAGTTCAGAAATCAGTCAACATAAAATGTATTGAATCTCTTTGTTATACTTTTTAGTGTAAGTGTTGTGTTGCTTTAATACAAACTTACAGGACAGTATGGATCTATTCACAGGTTTCTGTGGAGGTCTGAAATAGTCCATTACTGAATGGTTCAAAAATATGGTTTTAAAATATCTGACATTTTAAGACAGACATTGCTGCCGTGTCAGCACTTTGTTGGGAAGGAAATGCAAAGTGAAAATTAATTCTGCATTTTTTTAGATCTTTTTAGTTATATTTTAGTTATTTTAGATTTGAGATTGAGATATAGAGTGTTTTAAATACATGTAATATTAATCCACAGGTGTTTGTTTTTCACCATAGACAAATGAACGATATTATTTAACTGGAGATTAAACATAAGTAAAGAATTATAACATGTTATGAAATATGTTATTTTTATTGTAACACACACGTGCTTAATTGTATTTTTCCAATCCTCCTGTGCAGAGATGAGATATTTTGAATGTGCTTATCTGGTATCAGCTGTTTGTGAAATGTGCTGAGACATGCAGCAAACAAAGGGGATTTCCCGTCTGTGAATATGGGCAGTTCTTTTCCTTGACTGAAAGGGCATCAAGAAATGCAACAACGTTGCAGACAAAAACGAAAGCTTTTATGAGCTGTTTACTGTAAAGGATTATTTCCCTTAAAATGTGAGGGAAAATTGGGGACTTCTGGAGGAGTTTATAAAAATGAAACTAAAAGTGGACTGTGTAGACTGTTGATGACATATGATACATAACAGTTACAGATACTTAATCAGAAGTAATAGTATATTGTATCTTGGTTCTAGAAGGACTATTTCGCATCAAAAGTTAAAATAAATCCACTCAAATTTCAAAAGGGAAGTGTAGGCCAGTTCAATAGGTTCGTGGTAACATTTTCAACTGGAAACAGTTGAAAAGTCTGGAATCTTAGATTTTTTAGATCATTTCTTTGTAATTCCACAGTGTCACAATGCTCTGCTTTGTCACAGTCATCTGTGGTCCAATTATCAAGTTGTTTAAAACTGGTAATAGTATTCAGTTAATACATGCATGGTGATATCCATAGAAAAGACTTCCAGAAATAAGTATAATATGGCGGTTTTGTTGTTGGGGAAAAAAAATTATATATTGAAAAAAATGCCTTTTTCACATAGAGTTGTATTAGCATCTGTCAATAAAATGGAATTCTAGAACATGAAAGGAACTTATGCATAAAATATTCAATCATTTTTTGATAATGATAACATGTAAACATTGCCTTCAACAACTTTTGGTTTTAGACAAAAATGCAAACCACTTTCCAGGCTGCAATTATCCAAAAATCATTCATCATTACATTCTTGCTGAAGTTACTTGGCTTTCCTTTAAATAAGAGTTTTATGACCAATGAGGTTTTTAGGTTACTTTAATTGCGTTTACTTGAGATGGGTTCAAATTACTCCATCATAGCAACGTTAACAGATAGCATTCACTTTCAATTATTGATAAACTGTTTTTAACTGGACTTTGCTGCTTGGACTGTCTGTTTCATTTGGGGGGCGGTAGGTTACAGTTGCATGGTTATCTTGGAGGTCCCGGCCTGAAAAGTTTGGGAACCCCTGCTACATTGACCTGGCAAGAGCCAGATTGATGATTGTGTAGAACTTTAATGCGTTCTCCACAATATCAATCTGGGACTTCTGCAGGAGAATCCTTTCGGGGAAAGGAGGGATAAGCAGCAGAATACTTCAAGCTGATTGGGCGAAGTGACGCTGCGTGCCCGCCTACCAAGGTTGCCGTCCAGAAATGCACAAAGCGCCTCTCGCTGTTCATTTTTCAAAAAAGAAATTGGAGATTCTGCTAAAAACTGACTTGATAGCCTCAGCTACGCGTCCGTCCTCCTGCGTAGCCATGTTTGTTTTGCTTCGGCCCGGCACTTCTTGCTTTCGTCAAACCCTGATATCCCGCCCTAAACCCCCAGACTGGCGCGTGATTGGCTTGAACACTTAGATGTTCTACTCGAAAAGGGTTGGCGGGAGCGGGACAAGATGTATTCTCGAGTGTTTGTGAACTCACAAATACCGCGAGAATTCAGCTTGCAGGCAAGGTTACTGCCACATATATCGTTCCATGGCAATTCTCCACCGCAACCTCTTGATTATTGAACGATTAACTATATCTATCATGACTGTAAACCAGCTATGAAAAATAGCATGTGCATTTCTTACCCTGCCTCCATATATTCAAATTATCATCACCACTCCTCCTTAGCCCCTCCCCTTCCTTCCTTCCTGCCCCTCGCTCCTCACAATGCCCCTGGTCTGGTCGTGGTTGCTATGACACGAGACCAGAGTCCAGGGGAAATGCAGCAGCCTGGAGCCCTGTTTGGACAACCACACACCACCACTTCAAAGGAGCTCATCTCTACTTAAGCTTTTCTCTCAGTTAGTGTTGCTTTTATCCGGATGGCTGTGACCCTGCGTTGCGTTCTTAAAAAGGTGTGAGTGAGCTGAAGAGGACAAGAGATCTGGCTAAAACAGGAGCTGTGTTTGCCCGGAGATACACTGGACAATGTGTGGAGGTTCCTGAAGGATTAGGATGGTGTTTGTGAATTTTGACATGCAGATGGCGTCAATGGTAAGCACTTTTAACTGAAAAATTGTTTTATGTAGAGTGAGGCGTTATTGTTGATTTATAGATGTTTATTTACATGGGTTTGGTTTGAATATCTGATTCAAAGTAATACGTGAACTAGAGTATTGTACTGTATAGAATAATGCAAGTCATCTAATGTAGCACACATTTTGAATCACTATTTTGGCTTATAAAATGGATTAATCTGCAAGTTAGAAAAAACTCAAATCAAGATAAACGCAGCTTAATCCTAGCTAAAAAATAACTTCTATCCTTTGTGATAATGTCATTGTAAATTGAAATTGTTTGCAAAACCTTTAAGCCAATCAGTATTAAGATCCTTTCAAAATATATTGTAATTTCTTCATTGTGATTTTCAAGTTCTATTCAAAGTGTCTTGTTATAACGTATACATTTTTTTTAAAAACATTTGTAAAAAATGTATTCAAAACCCAAAAATATGGCATGATACAATAGTCTGAAGCTGCCTCATGCTGTCCAGTGGCAAACTATTACAGAAATAAATACAGCTTGGGTTGTTTATAATAGACTCTGCTTATGTAAAGCTCCAGCTGTCTTTCCTGCAGTTCCAGTGTACATATTTTGTCTGTGAAATCTGGCTTCTGAGCAAGCATTTCCTGGATATTTAATTTTTTTCATTTGCGGTAACAAGACTTGAGAAATGATTTAAGGCGTTTTTTCTGCCTTTTTTTGCTGTTTGACGCCTTGCAATCTACACAGTATTTTGACACCTGGGTCCAATCCAGCATTTAACCATTTGGAGAGCAGCTTATGTAACTTATTTTAGGAACAAAGTCTAGGGCAAGAAATAGGACTTTCCCTGTTTGCTTTTCACATATACTTTGAACGAAAAGTAGTTTCCTATCGTTTCATTTGCAAAAGTGTTATTTTTCACTTCAACTGTTTTCATATTTTTATATATGTTTTATCTTTGCCCTATGGAGGAAAAAGGATGATTTTGATGAAATGTGATTAGATCAAAGAGTTCTTTTGTGAGAGAAAGATTGAGTCTCAGCACAGAATTCACCTTTATTATGTTGACTCCTGAGGGCTAATAATTGATGATAGCAGCTGCATAAACAGTGATCCTTAGATAAATATGATGCGACACGAGGTTTGTTCTCAATTAACACTCCGCAATTTTAGTTGTTTTACTATTGAACTGTTCACTTTAGTTGCTTTGACGGAAAACAAAAAAAAGAGAATGGGAGGGGGTAATTCAGACTGGATTCAGTAGAGGAGGATTTTTTGTTTATTCACACACATACAATAGTTTAAGTAAAAAATAAAAAAACACACAAAATGCAGTATGTTATAATTTGCATACTTATGAGAAAGAACCCTGTGAGTCACTTTTTGACACTTTAGGCTGAGAGCTGATTGGCTGAGTGTGGGTGGTCTTCTTTGTATCACTTTTCTGTCTGAAAAAGCTGGTCTAAAGATGTCACCGAGGTTAAGAATACTTCTACATACATGTGAAAACTACAGGACCAAACTATTTTGAGAGCAAGGAAGTTTGAAAAGTTTGCAAATTTTTAAGTACGTGCATCAAAGAATGTGTTTATGTGGTTTATAGCCAAACTTGGTGCATGATCTATCCCTCTAATACTAATGTCTGTGACCTGTGCCCATATGTAAGTAAGTAATCTTTATTTATATAGCGCATTTTTTCTTTTTTTTCTTTTTCTCTTTACAATTTATCACCATTACAGCTGTTTAAACCCAGGAACACATCCACTATCCCACTTTTCCATGTTTGTCCTTGTTGCTTCCTCACACCTGCGTCCTTGACTTCTTGGCCCAAATATCCTCGTTCCAAATCCTATTAAAACGAAACACAAAACCTGCCCATTTCCTTTTAACTGAAAGAGTCTTAAATTAGATTAAGTGCTCGTTAATCCATTGTCCTCATTCGATTTCATGACCAAGAAGTCTATTAGCAGTGAAGTCACTCTCGACATCGGCCGTTTATTAATAAATCTAAAACAGGACTTTGACTGGCCCCTTTGAAAAGCCAATAGTCTGATTTACTATGATGTTATGTAAGCGTGTTTGGGCCACTTGGGGTATGTGCCTTTCTGCTCTTTTATCTACGCGCGTTCACAATGGGCCACAAATGTGCTTCCATAAATGGGAACAGACAGAGCGCCGCTAATATTTACATTTCACGGCGTACGTTCAGTGGTTACATGTGCATTCCTATAGGTCTGATGTTTGTTGATATATATATGCCAGAGAGATTAAATAATTGCTCTAATGTTCCGCATTTTTTCTGTTTTATCTTGATATACATGCGTTCTTATTTTAGATGGGTTTCAGGTCTTCTCCGCAGACCTGAAACTTCACATTATTTATTTCCATAGTTCTACATGCCAATAGTTTAATGCCAGACTGAGACATTTGGGAAAACTTTTAAACATCTCCATGGTGACAAGTGATCGTTTCATTTCAACACAATTTTTACTTCACAGCTGTTTGACTTGTTTGGGGGTTTAGTAGACTTTTTAAATTCAGCTATGGTCCTATGTGCAAAGTTGTTCAGCCACCAACCAGAAGGAAGCTGGTTCAAACTTGGTGCATTTATCTGTATGTTAAGACAAGTGAACCTGTAATTAAAGATAGGGTACCTAACTTTGTGCAAACTGTACACTTTAAGAAGGGGCCATAGATGTCACTTGCTCGGACATATACTGTATTGTATTGATTGATAATACCAAAAATGCTTTTAAAAGTAGCTCAGCTTGAGCTATTCATTATTCATGTTTGAGAAATGTATATTCTCCTACATCCAAGACACCATTGCTATGACAATCCCCATTTCCACGGTGCATACCCACTGTTCTGTTAATGCTGATTTTTTTTATTTTCCTAATCAGCACTTAAGACTCGGGAGTGTCACACAGGAATTTCGGCACAAATATTTAACATCTGCTGCTATGTTGCCAGTTTGTTGTGATGAAGCTTCCAGTGACGTGTGCTGTTCCCATCAGCACATTCTGGTGCTGTTGTGAAGGGGTGCTCCGGTCACCTGGAGGAATGTTTTGGCACATTTTAAGAACTCTGTCATTGTTGTGGAATGCGAGTGTAGGGTCATCGATCGGCCCCCAGCGGCGTCCATGTTGGATTCCTCTGCGTTGACGGTATGGACGGTAAAAACAAGTGTTTCCTCAGATACCACTAGAGCCTGTTTGTTTACACGGTCTTGTAAAGACTGAAGACTGGTTTGTGAAGGGGGGAGAGGGTCTGTCCACACCACGGTCATAAAGACTCATAATGGCCAATGGGAAAGTCAAAATGTCAAATTTTCATTGGGAATGGCGCATTCTTAATGGTTTGTTTGCATACAAATATAACCGATTAATTTAATAAGTGCTCGTGTTGTATTTTTCCCAGGCCTGTATCGGCCTGTTTATCCATTACTTGTGTGATATTTGTCTGTCACAGGGGTCTTTTTTAGTGGTTTTAGTGGTTTTATTTCTTCATCCTTACCAGTCTGCAAAATAGCCAATATAATCATCTTGTCTGTATGAAATTGTCCATTCGATTAGCTTAGCTCTTAGCTTGTTAGCTGAAGAAATGATAAGCTAAAATAAACAGTTAAAATGTACCCATCCATTCAGCCAATTTATTTAGTAGTAGTAGTAGTAGTAATCTTTATTTATATACCGCCTTTTCACTGCAGATCTGAGTCTCAAAGCGGTTTACAATTGTTAATTTTTTTTGGGCAATTGTCTCTCACTCCACACAGAGATGGGAGCGGGGTCGCCGGTACAGGAGGCGCATGCTAGAACTATTGGACATATTTTTAGTGGTAGGGGAAACCGGAGTACCCGGAGGAAACCTACGCAGACACGGGGAGAACATGCAAACTCCACTCAGAAAGGCCCTGGTCCGAACTGGATTCGAACCCAGGACCTTCTTGCTGAGAGGCGAGAGTGCTATCCACTCAGCCACCGTGGTATTTAGTGACCATTATCATACCTGAAAAGTCCAACTGAGATTTCAGAATCTCTTTTTCAGAAGAGTCCTGGGGAGAGAGAGAGAGGGGAAAGAGAGGGGAGTTATTGTATGTTTTTAGTGTTGGGGGAATCCAGAGCACCAGGAGGAAACCTACCCAGATGCGGGAAGAACATGCAAACTCCACTCCGTAAGCCCTGTCCTGATGTGGAATCGAAACACAGGACTTTCTTGCTGAGAAGCGAGAATGCTAACCACTGCGCCACTATGCCTTGTAATACTATGGAATATCATTTACATTCACTTTAGATTAAACTATTATCTATTTGCAAATCGGTATAGAGAATTGTTTTTTGTTTTTTTTTTGTCTGGTTGGATTGTTGAAAGTTGAGCCACACACTCACCAAGTGCTGGTAATGTTTTGGACTTTTTTATCATCTGATTTGATTGCCAATGAACATTTAACTAAACCATATTCATACATATTTACTCTTTTAATCAGAATAATCCAGTTTGTAAAAAGCTTATTCGACTTCTTCCTGTTTGTGCCGGTGTCTGTACCTTAATGTATTTTCCTAAAGTTGAGTATGAGAGAGTGTGACGCCAACGTGTTAACAATAAAACCCAAAACAATGGCTGAAGCTCGGTCCGTGTCCGTGTAATGGGACGACCCCGCTGACCGATGATGTAATGGTGTTTACAGAGAGGAAACACTGCTCTTCCCTCCACTGTTTTTAAACCCAGCTGATGTCACCTACACCGTCAAATTCCCCCACGCGTCCTGTTTGTCTCTGGTCCCTTTGTCTGACTGGAAATATGCAAGGTTTTCCCTAAAATGACATACAACAGATGATTTCGGTTTTGGTTTTTGATGTCATTGGAATTGTCCCAAAGCATTGGACGGAGGGACTGATGTAAAAACTGCAATAAGATGTGGTCTACGGGTACATTTATTTTGTTGGTGCGTTGGTCTTTTATGTTCACAGCTCCACCATGAAATGTTTCGGCAAAAAGACTAAGATCATGCGCGTGTTTACTTTAATTTCTGCACCAGTTCTAAAAATGAATGTACTTACTTTGAGAAAATCTGACTCGCACTCGAGGGTCTTCTCATGCAATTGAATTGAATTGAAAGACTTTACAAAGTTGTCGATTCACCGTTTTCAACAGATCAGAGAATCAAACGGTACGAACAAACACAGGAAATGTAATAATAACAAACACATTGGTCCATAGGGAATGGGATTAGCAATATCCATAAATGTCCATCATCTTGGTGACTGCTTCTTCAGTGGACGTCAGCTCCAGAAAGTTTCCTTGTTTTCCCTCAAAGGAGAGTTTTAATGATGTTACATTTATCGATCATCATTCAGAGACCTGTAGTTTTAGATCTATTCAAATATTATATATATATTATATTCAAATAGTATTTTCTGGCACCAACATGTAACTCCACCCCTGTCTAAACCCTCCTGTCCTGTAATAGTATTGTGTTATTGTAGCACTATGAAATTATTATATGTATTATCTATATCATATCTGTTTGCAGCTGTAATTTTAAAACATTTTACCCCTTTTATTTCATTGACATGGATTCATTAAATGGAAGGTTGTGTGTCACTTGCATCTGGGATCTCCATGTATCTCATTTTTTTGTTTGTTTCTATGTTTGCAGGGTCAGGCGCGGCGGAGGAAGAACATGACTGAGTTCTTGGGAGAGGTCAACATCCCGAGCCCGGACACCCTGGGTCAGGTGGGGGGGTCCCTGCCCGCTGTGCCCTCCGGACCCGACAGCTGGAAGAACAGAGCGGCCAGTCGATTCAGCGGCTTCTTCAGCTCCAACGGCGGAGCGGGAGCTTTTGGGAAGGTAAACTGTTAGTTGTTATATGTTTTAATAGTAGTTAGAAACAGGACGGAATGACGACTGGACGATGACGGAAGCAGGAACTGCAGGATTTGATGCAAAGATGGGATAAGATAGGTAGGAAAGAAACAGGAATAAATTAGATGTGAAGTAAGACAAGATAAGATGAATGAATTGATCTCACAATAAGGTGTAAGGTATATTACTGTATGTTTCCATCAAAATTAAAAGTGACTATAGCCGTGTGAGTGACTAAATGATTTAAATCCGCTCTAAAGCCAGACCAAGAAGAGCCAGATGTAAAATAGTGTGTGCTGTTATAGTGGTTGAGCTCATGATCAGTTTGTGTGCTAACCACAGATGCACACCCCTAGATATAATGGTTATACCTAATATTTATAAGTGGGCTTAAATGTTAAAGCTCTATTACTAATCTCAGCATGCTGTCAAAGTATATATTTAGAATAGATGTTATTTTCAAAAAATGTGGTTCTTAAAGTCAGCATGCGCTTTGTTAATCATAAGCAGCGACACTGGGCACGGAGCGCACAAACACACCTCATCTTGAGAAAATAATGATGTCATCTTTTGTACTTTTATGGAAGCCAGATGGGGGGTAACGGAATGAATATTGTCCAAATAATCTTGAACCCTATACATCACATTTACTAAAGTACTCCAGTCAAAATCTATTGATAAAAAAACATCATTATTGAAGCATTTAATCCTCTGGAAAGACATGTTTTATAGCCAACTGCAGTGTGGTCCGTTATTTGCCCAGACTCGTCTCTCATTACGAGAGCATTAAAGACAAACACAGTGGCAGCAGCAGTCTGTGGAGGGGGTGGGGGGCAGGAAGGCTGGGTCCCGGAGCAGCGCTGAGGTCATTTCCCCTCGGAGTCTCCTGACCTGTCCCCTCGCATACTTTTCCATTCACTCAACTATTTAGCACAAGCAGAAATGTCCTACTGGGAAACACTAAAGACCTTGATGCTAAATTTCATAACATGATGTCAAATGTGGGCAACTCTGCAGTAGGACATACTCCGTCCGTGATGAGATGTCATTAAAAATAACGTAATGGATATATAATGAAAATCCGATTGAAATGCTTTTGATTAGGAAAAGAAAAGTGACTATGATTACCTAAAGCATATAGTGTGTTTTTGATGAAGAAAATAACCTCATCTTCCTTTGAGAATGTTGCAGACAAAGCTGTGCTGTGTGTTGTATACATATTTGGATTTGAATTTCCATCCTCCTTAATATTTAAAAGTTATTAGTTGCAACTAATATTCAGCAGGAGGATTAGCCTTCATTCAAATCTATATTGGCCAACACAAAGTCTTCCCACTATTGCAATGAATGTAAACACAAGTTAATTTCTTATCTCAAGTAGAAACCTTGTCTCAATGTCCTAAAAATAAAGACTTACCTCATTCGCAAATTTGTGTTGGATTTCAAGCTAACGTTTCTTGTAACAGTAATGACACAAGGCAACAAGCAAAACAAATCTAGATCACATCAGCAAAGCAGTGAATAATACATAATACTAGATGAATAGCCAGTAATCAAGTGACTTAAATGCAATGTAAGAAAGTAGATTATTAATAGTGTATGGATGGGGAACCAAACACACTCTAAATGTCTCTTGCACCAAACTGGGGGTCTGTGTGTCCTCTCCACAGAGTGCCATAGAGACTGTTAAGTGACAGCAACACAGAGGCTCGACACACACGGCCTTTGTGGTCAGTGCAGAGGTCCTGGTCTGAGATCTGGCAGATGTCAGAGGCAGCTACACACTGTCACTCACCTGTCACACACTCACACACACACACACAAGGTCTCTCTGCACACACATAAGAGCCACAAACGCCCCAGGGCCACGTAGCTCAGCCTGCCTCTCATAAACCATTTCAGATTACTTATGAGATCAAGTTACAAATGTAGATGTTGTAATGGGTCAAAAGTATTTCCTTCTTTTTTTTTACCCACTCAAAGCTGTTTTTAATCGTAATTTCTGCACGTTTGAGTAAATCATTGTCTCCTGAATCCTCCTGCGCTCTGACTTTACCTGTTTTTATCCCCGCTGGTCATCTCTACTGGTACCCTCTGGTCTTTACTTTATTTGTTGATTTTAGTAAGGAACAGGTGCAATCAATACTTCTATACAATTGTGTTGGATCAAAGTTGAGATTTCACATTTTCAAAATCATTAATTATATAGCACAAATTGAAATAATTATGACGTGAATGCAAAAAATGAAACCTTGTGTGTTATTATATGTGTATATTGCTACAAGTCTATACGTTTATTTTTTCACAAAACCCTACCTCTTGCATAAGCTGGTTTTGTTAATACCGTTTTCATGTATGCACTGCCCCCACTGTTGGCCTTTCTATTGTTAACATGGCCTCAATGCTCCAAGCTCATTTTCATAACCACATTAGGCTTGCCACACTGAACAAAAGCCTGGACATCACTTATGTTTGGATTCAATTTTTGTCACCAACCCGATTTGTATGCAAATCCTGTGACAAAGAAATGCTGAGTTCATTAGAAAATAGGGTTAAAATGTTGTCAAAATCTAATACTGTCATATCTACAAATCATTTTAGTTAAAAGGCTGAATCTAAGTGTACTTTTAACGTGTGCATGTCTCTTGACCACACACGGCCTAATCCGATTGTCGACATGCTGATGTACATTCTTGAATCCGAAAGCCAATAGTCTGTGTTGTGTTGCAGGACGGGGACCGCGTGGAGCAGCTGCAGAACAAGCTGCACTCGTACTCTGTGTTCGGTTTGCCAAAGGTGCCGCGGCAGCTCTCCTTCCACCAGGACTCATGGGAGGAGGAGGAGGAGGAGACAGAGCTGAGCCTGGAGGACAGCTGGCAGAGGCTGCTGGACCAGCCCGAGGTACTGCTCAGCGGGAAGGGACATTAGAGCTACTCAGTCGAATTCAGACTGCTTTATTTAGAATCATCTGCGATGAATCAGAGTATTAAAAACACACCAAAAACACTTACAAACAAACACATGTTCCATGCAGACTAACACGGCCCATGACAACAATTTTTCATCTAGCATTAAAAGTTCTTTCTGTATTCTTACTACTACACATTGTTTTAAGCGTAGTAAACCACAAAGAAAGACTGAAATTATATTCCTTCAATTATTTTCTACTTGAATGTATTTATTTGTATGTGTTGATAAATATATACGATACCAATATATTGAATAGCAAAGAAATGTGTATGTCATAGTCAACATCACAATCTGGAAAGACAAGAATAATTTACAGTTACTAAGTTACTAGTAATGGAGTTAACCCAACGGTTCCAAAAGTCAGGACCTAAAGATACCGCAGGGCCCCCCTTTTTTATTTGTAATTGTTTCCCTTTGTTTGTTTTTGTTTTTTTAAATGTGTGTAAAAAAAATTAAATCTTAATTACTGGTTGTGCTCTGAGGGCCCTGGACCCCACTTTGGGAAGCACTGGCCTTACCCTTGACCAAAAGAGTTTTCTTATTATTATAACTTTATCTTATGTTCATATATGCTCATAGTATCTTTAGGATGAATTATTTTATTATGAGTTAATTAGTTTCATACTAAAAAAAAACATATTTCAAAGCACTGGCAATAGTAATAAAGTACTCATGATTGGTTGCCATAATCTTTTTCATCACATCACTAAACCCAGGGGAGGTGACCAGGTGACAAATGGCTTTTGTCAGCACTTGAGTTGAACTTCCCAGAATGCTGTTTGCTCAGTGTTCTACCTACGTCAGGACTCGTAAATTCCTGTGTACTGTAGATTATAACGACACGGAAGAATCGAAACAGCCACGCAGCAGTTTTTATGGTCTTTACTGCTTTACACTTTCACCCCTCCCAGTTAGATAACATTGACCATTAGATGTTTTAATGGTATGCATTTTCACCATTTCTAGAAGCATTTACTAAGTCAATCAGTAAAGTATCATTTGTCATTTATATTAATGAATTGTTATTACAATGAATTTTTGTTTTGTGGCAGACGTTGACGAGGCGACAGTTCCACCAGCAGGAGGCGATATGGGAGCTGCTTCAAACTGAGGTCACCTACATCAAGAAGCTCAGAGTCATCACTGATGTGAGTGAATTTAACTCTCAAGTCTCAACATTACAGTAATTAGCCACTTTACATTGTTCAAGCTTCACTCCAGTTTAAAAAGTGGATACATCGTTGTCTATTTCTAAGTAAGAAGTTTGAGCAGTGAATGTTGAAGGTGCTGGAGTTTTAGACACACAGGGATCAAGTCTGATTCACCCGAGAGTAATTATTTTAATTGCGTTATATCGGGTACATTTATGTTAATTTGTGGAGATGTGACAGCACCATCACTAGCCAATAGCAGAAATGTAACCTCTGTTTACAATTTAAGTAGCTCCTTTCATGTATTTGTAGTATAATACTTGCTAAAGTATTTATTGAAAAAAGCAAAGTATCATGATGCTCTGTACCTTTTATGTCTGACTAAAGTCTCTGTTCCTGTTTCAGCTGTTCCTGTCTGCGCTGCTGAACCTGCAGGAGAGCGGCCTCCTCACTGAAGTGGAGCCTACCAAACTGTTCAGCAACATCCAGGAGATCGTGCGCCTCCACAGCGCCCTCTGGAGTCAGGTCATGGTGCCGGTGCTGGAAAAGGCCAGAGAGAAGCGCGCTCTGCTGGACCCTACTGAGCTGCATCACGGCTTTAAGACGGTGAGTTCATGTGCTAACTGCGCGGCTCAGATCATTCATCTCATACCATCCCATTTTAATATTTGGGGAAAAAAATTATTTAACGAGAAGGGGACATTGTTAAAGCTCAAAAGTTGTAATGCCCTAAACATGTATGTGTGTGTTTGTGTTTATAGTTTGGGTCCCGGTTCCAGCCGTACATCCGCTACTGTATGGAGGAGGAGGCTTGTATGGAGTACATGCGCTCACTGCACAGGGACAACGAGCTCTTTAGGACCTACGTCACCGTAAGACTGCATTTATTCAAACACCCCAGATTAAGATTTCATGTACATTAGTGTAATTTATGTATGACATTAATCCAACCATGACAGCAGAAGGAAGCTGTCCCTTTTCGCCAGAACTACCCAGAAACACATTGATGGTCAGAATATGAAATAAAAAGTTCTGCAAATATCTACATATTTCAGAACAAACTCAAAGTAACAACAGTGAAATCATATTATATAAATTATTAGAAAAATATATTGATTATATTGATTGAAGCAGGCAAGTCCAGGCAACATAAGATTTTTTTTTCCTTTCATTTGTGCATGTTTAAGAAAAGGGGCAGCCAACCTTTTTTCTTCTTTCTGCTCCTTTTAATTTGTGTGACAAGACTAAAATTATTATTATGTAATTCTAATATGTAGAATTATCATGTCCACAATTGAAATAACATGAGGCCAATATTAATTCCTAGTTTGTGATTCTGAAAATGGCAGAAATCTTCAATTTCCAAATCTCTAACATAGATTGTTCCATCCATCGATTGTTGAAGGATAAGTTCATACAGTAATGATTGTAATATAGACCTAGATGTTTGCTGCTTTTGCTAAAATACCAAAAATAATTTGTGCAAAATGCAAAAACACAACACCACAGAATCTAATGCTTCAAATGTGCAGTCCCATAACACTGCTGTTTGTGTGCAGTGGGGAGAGACGCATAAGCAGTGTAACAGGCTGAAGCTGGCCGACATGTTGGCCAAACCGCACCAGAGGCTCACCAAGTACCCACTCCTGCTCAAGAGCGTTCTGAAGAAGACCGACGAGCCCTCGGCACGGGACGTCCTCAACAAAATGGTCAGAAACGCTCATGCATATTCATAAATGTGCATTTCTTAACATATGATACTAGATTGTCTAATCATTACTGTATATCCATCTATCCATTATTCCATTCACTGTGAGCTTAGTCTTGCAGGGATGGTTTATGTTACTGTTATTTTTGTATTTTTTTGTTGCTCCATAAGGCTAAAACAAATTCAGTCTGATTCAGATCAAGCTAGAATTGAAGAAAAAAGGAGACAAATTTAGCCATTACGATCTCTGCTGCAATTTTTATACTCTTATAAGTTAAAAGAACATACATTAGATTATTAAGTGTAAAATTACATTGTTTCTGAATTCCGTGTTATTTCCTTAAACAGCAGATTTAAATTTGACATGTGATAATAAAGATACATGTGCGCAGGTGTCCACTGTGGAAGGCTTCATAAACAGTGTGGACTCTCAGATGCGACAGAGGCAAGAGCAGCAGAAACTGGCCATGATCTCGGCGCGTATCGACTCATACGAGGCTGTAGAGGGCAGCAGTGAGGAGGTGGAGAAGGTGAGCATTAAAGAGGACAATATATCAAAGTTTTCTTTCAGTGCTCTATCAACCATAGTTTACCTTCTGATTCTGATTCTTCTTGGTAGCTTTGTATGTTCAATTCATTTAATCATTTAATATAGTGGGTTTTTTTTCTACAACTCCAGATAATCTGTCGTTTGTTTGTACAAGTTTCTGATCCAAACACAAATCATAAGATAAGAGATGATTATTTGTCCCACAGTGGGGAAATTTCACTAGCTATATTTCTTTGCATATCGATGTAAATGCTTCAATATACATATACATATACATACAGTATATACACTATTGGGGAGCATTCTTACTATTCTTGCTCTAAGCTCTGAAGACATTTTGATTAATGTCACGATAGCAATGCCAAATTTCTAATTGTTTCTTTATCACTTTGCATTGTTTTTAAATGCAATCCAATTTTAAATAGAAACTGAAATCAATAATATAAATACATTTGAGAAGAATGTTGGTATGAACTAAGCCTGGTTGCTTTATAGAAAGTGTCCAAGATTCAGGAGCTGTTAAACATTTCTGCATCTTCAATGTTAATTCCTTGCCGTACTTACTTATAACCATGTGTTTATGTTATAAAGATGACTCTGTGAATGTAAAGCCCAGTGTTGACCTGAGAGTTGCTGTTGCAGATATTAAAAGAGTACAACCACTTCGACCTGATGTCTCCGATGAGAGGGACGTCAGCAGAGGAGACGAGACAGCTGCATCTGGAGGGAGCACTGCGCATGAAGGAGGGCAAGGACAGGGTGAGGAACTATAAAAACACCAATGGTCCCATGGCATTAAAGCTGGTATACCTGATTTTGAAATAAGGTAGAATAAGACGCTGGCAGACACAAATGCAGCTTGTTGCGAGCTGCATTTGTTCCCGATATTAGGGATTTTTGATTATAGTAATGAAGAAGATGACATAGTCTGGGATCGCGTCTTTAATTCAGACAGAAGACATGTTTTATTGTCGATGGTAGAGACAGCACGAACACGAACACAGATACAAGAGAATGCAAGTGTATTATACAGAGCGGAGGCATGGAGACCTCCAATCAGCAGCTTCCACGGTGCCATGTAGCTTGGCCTTCAGATAGACAAAACAAGGGAAAAGTACTGCTTTCTGCACATTGATAGAATGATAAGTTTAACTTCAACAAAAGTTGCTTAAAAGTGTTATGAAATCTCACAGTAATTAAGTAAGTAAGTAATCTTTATTTATATTGGGCGGCACGGTGGCTGAGTGGATAGCACTCTCGCCTCTCAGCAAAAAGGTCCTGGGTTCGAATCCCGGCCGGACCAGGGCCTTTCTGAGTGGAGTTTGCATGTTCTCCCCGTGTCTGCGTAGGTTTCCTCCGGGTACTCCGGTTTCCCCTACCACTAAAAACATGCACAATAGGTCTGGCATGCGCCTCCTGTACTGGCGACCCCGCTCCCATCTCTGTGTGAAGTGAGTGGACCAATGCCCAAAAATAATAACAATTGTAAACCGCTTTGTGACTCTGGTCTGTGAAAGGCGGTATATAAATAAAGATTACTTACTTACTTACTTACTTACTTACTTACTTACTTATATACAGCCTTTCTCAGGCCAGAGTCACAAAGCGGTTTACAATTGTTTTTTTTGGGCATTTGTCTCCTACTCTCATGGGAGCAGGGTCGCCAGTTCAGGAGGCGCATGCTAGACCTATAGTACAGGTTTTTAGTGGCGAGAAGACAAATTGCTAACTACTCAGCCACCATGCCGCCCGATATTATTCTAAAATATTTAAAACTTATTCAGTGCTGCTGAGTGTATGACCAGAGCTGCATTTATATTTGAAATATCTTTTTGAGGCTTAAAACATTCAAAAATGCAGAATACTTTTCACAAAACATTATTTTATTATATAATGGTGCTTTTTGGGTTGAAAACAACCGCCAGCTGGAAAGCAGTAGCCAGATAATGAACGTCTGTTGTCTTCAAACAAATTGGATTTTATATTCAATCGTCTATGGGGAATTTTACTTTCAGAACTTGCCAGATTCTGGCACACTTCACAGCTCCATAACCATTTGACATTTTTTCCCATGATATGTAGTCAAATTGTATTGTTTCTCACTGTTTGAAAACGTGCAATAGTTCTGAAGGAGTTTTTTTTTTTTTTTCAGATGGAGGTGTATTGTTTCCTGTTCACAGACCTGTTCCTGATCACCAAATCTGTGAAACGGGTGGAGAAAGAGAAAGTGAAAGTCATCCGACAGCCACTGCTCATTCAAAACGTGGTGTGCAAGGAGCTCAAAGACCCAGGTGAGTGCTTACATGATGCAGTCCACGTCATTACTTATGGACTGTTCTCATTTTATTTAGAATTTGCTTATTACTTTATTTTGAGCTTTTAACAGAAGATTTTTCCATGTGTATTTCGGACTATATTTATTTTACGTTTTTATGTTGTTAATGCCTCTTGTGTTTTGTCCTGTCAGGCTCCTTTATCCTAATCTACCTCAACGAGTTCAAAAGTGCAGTGGCAGCCTACACTTTCCAGGCCAACAGCGCCACCCAGGGGAGGAGCTGGGTCGATGCCATCTGCAATGTCCAGGTTAGAAAACTCGAACACTCTCAATGTTGTAATAATAACAATAATGCATTGGCTTTATATAGCGCTTATCTGGACACTCAAAGATGCTTCACATTCATTCACTCCATACACACTGGTGATAAACTACTACTGTAGCCACAGCTGCCCTGGGGCACACTGACAGGAGCTTCCATAACATGTAAAATGTGTAAACTCACATAAAAGGAACGGAACACTTGAATGAGTGTACATAAAAAGTAAATGAAATGAAATGCAATGGTGGATATAAATCGTTACCTTCAAGACACTAATAATTTAATTTCAATGTTGTCAATCATAGAATCCTTTTTTTTTTTTTTCTCGTTGCGCTCACCAAACATACCAGTGTGTAGGCCAAAAAGTGTTGCTAGGCCTAAAAGATGAGATTTGACTCGTGTTGATTCTTATTTATTAATTGTATGTTTAAATGTTTTTAGAACCAGTTACAAAGACTGCGCAGTGAGGAGGTGGTCCGGCAGCAGAACACGCTGAAGACCTCCACAGCTGAGGAAGAGGAGGAGGAGGAGGAGAGCAGCAACTCTACAGCGAGCTCCCCCAGTCTGAGGCACAAAAACAACTCAAGGTGAACTACTTTACAAACATGTACTTATTTGAGACTATTTTTTTCTTTTATCTAAATTGGATCAGAGTAATAGACTATTTCTACAGTTAAATTCTCTTTCTACATTTTTAAAGGTCTAGTTCCCACTGCTGCCAGTAGATGGGAGCGTTTTTGTGTCCCACTTTTGCTGATACATTTTCCACACTTCCACAAAACAGGAATTGTATTTAATGTCCTATAAAAATTGTGACAAATATGCTAAATAAATCAAGGCCAAGATATGTACACAAATAACATGATATATGTTTAAGTTATGTTCAAGTTATTTACATAAATATAAATCCTAATGACCAACCACTTTATTTTATTCCATTCCATGCTTCAGAGGCACTCCATGGGACCCCCCAAAGATTGTCCACCCAACCAATTCAATACAATTACCTTTATCTTTGTATAGCTCTAAATCACAATAATTTCAAATGAATCTCTGTTCTTCTTTCAGCCAATCGGACGGCTCCACAGAGACACTGTCAGTGATGGACGTGGACGAGCCCTGCCTGCCCACTCTCACCATTTCCTGCCCGGGCGACGAATGCGCTCAAACTCCCAGCATCCCTCACTCCCATCGCTCTCTACCCACAAGTCTGCTACGTGTCCTGTCCACCATTTACTCCGAACCCGACCAGGAGGGAGAGCTGGACGATAAACTGGACCCCCAATGCAGGTCCCTATCAATGGACAGTGCTTATGGAACCCTTTCGCCTGAATCGCTTTTACGAGAATTACAGCCGCAGCAAGGCCACAGCGAATGGGAAGAGGCCGAAGAGGAAGAGCGGAGAGACGAGGAAGTAGGAAACGAGGAGCTAGAACAGGAAGAATTGGAAGAAGAGGAAGACACCACTTCGCTAGGATCCCAGTTGTCCGTAATCCAGCGACGGAAACCCATACAGAATCGCTTCCACTGCTTGCAAAGACTGCTTTCGCGCTCAGAGGACAACCTGCTTCAGAGAGTCCACAACGACAAGCAACACAGCAATTCGCAAGAAGAGGAAGAAACGCATGACCAAAACCCAGAGATGACGCACAGCCGTAGTATGTCGGAGCTGGGCCAACGCGCAGAGGAGCAAATATCGAGCAAACTTTTGGATCAGTCCGATGACAGCTTGGATGTGAGCGTGCCGGCCTCTGAGAAACTCTCCGCAACGTTGAAAAGGGCAGAGGCCAGACACGTGCACAAGGCGTTGGCCGGGATGGGAGATGGGTCAGATGATAGTGGTGGTGGTGGTGAGAGGAAAGGAGAAACCACTGCAGAGTCCAAGGGAGAGGTGGTGCTAAAGAAGAGGTCTCCAGTCCAGCAGCATAAGAAGCTCACACTGGCTCAGCTCTACCGGATACGTACGACCATGGTCCTGAACTCCACACTCACTGCTTCGTAAGTTGTCTATCATGCGTCTTCATCTTGCATTGTGTTGTTAAATTTCAGTTGTTAAAAGTTGTCCGTGAGAAAATAATCTTCTCGTAAAGCTGGGCTCCACCTGTTCGCTTTGTTTCTTGGGAACATTCTCAGTATCACGTACATAGATGTTTGGCCACTAGCACACCCCAAAGAGCAGATTTCACAAAAGTGAATCTCCCTGCTACCGCCAATCAGTGCTCTACCCAAAGAGGCAGATACTAACTCACATGGCTCTTTCATGTGTGCAATAGTTGAGATCTGAACTATAGAGGAATTTATTGTATAGCTCACTCATTTTACTCGCAATTCCCCTGCCTGAAATGTGGGTATCCCTTGAGGTGCACATTCAACCTGAAAACCTTTAATAAGCCCATGACTTACTTAACACTTTAATACTTATTTTGGATCAAGAAGATAAATATAAAGTGTTTAATTTCATGCCGATGGATCTGCACTTCCCAACATGGATAGCTTTGTATTTCAAATATTGTATTGTTCCGTTTCACCATCTAACTTTCACAGTGACTGCATAACTGACATATTGAAAACATAGTTTTCTATCCTCTATTGTAGAAATATGTCTAAAATAAAATAGATAAAATGATACAATAGTTTTCCTCTATGTATAATTTTAAACTAACTTTATTATGTTTTGTTTCTTCCAGGGAGGTCTAACCACTCGCCAGCGGGCTCCCGAGTCCTGATCCGGACCGTGTTTGGACTGAACTGAAAAAAAATGCACTCTCTCTTCCTGTCCTCTCTCCTTCATATTTTTTTATGGAACAACACAACAAAACTAACTATATTTTGTGCATTTTGACCAATAATAACAACTTTTATTTTGCTGTTGAACTGAAAAATACTCAATAAAAGAAGAGAGAGGCGGGATACACCAACTGCTTGCACTTTGAAGTAGCATTTTGGAGCTGAGACTGTTAAGGTGGACTGGCAAGAGAACATAGAGAAATGGGAAACGTAAAGAAGTGGCTCCACCTTAATAAAAAGTTATACCTTGAATCTGCTTTTTGTTAAAACCAGCTTCTAGGATTGTTGTACTTTTCCTGATTTTGCTTAAAAGGAATAATTGCACACTCGTCATGAACGCCAAGCCACTCAAATATGAGTTATATGTGAATGAATGATTATTTTGACTGAACCAAATAATCCTGTGTTATTATAAGGCCCAAAGATGAAAATACCAAAAAACAATTCATGCTGTGTGCTAGCATGCTTTCCCTTACCTCGTCACATAACTAGTCATTATGGATTGAAGTGGCTGACATTTCAAAGTTATTTTTATTGAGTCCATGCACTATTGACATTTATATTGCCATGCGTACACTCATAATTTTCCACACATTTCACTCAAAGCAAAAAGGTAACATCTGCGTAATCAAAATGGCTTGAATTCTGAAGAAAATCTTGTATTATGTCTTTGGTAGATATAATTTATGAGATGTTTTTATTATTTATTAAATCATTGTTTCTTTTTACAAACTTATTATCAGTGTAGTAAGGATTTTGCTATTTCCTTAATATCCTGGCTAATACTTTTGCTTGTAATTTGGAAACTAAACATTAAAACTAGTCACTTACGTGTGACATGCGTGTTAAATAAGTGATCTTAATTTGTGTGAAATATTCAGTTTAAGATTTTGACTTCCAGCCATTTTTTATGTCTGTAGATTTGACTTTTTGCAGTGTGGCCATTGTATTCAAAGTATGTCTGTATTTGAGCACATTTCATAAGTTTGCATAACAATTGTTGATCATTTGTAAGTTGTGGATAACCTCCCAAACCTTGTAGGTCGTCAGTTTACCTATAGTTTTGTTTACGTGTAATATTTATTATGCTTGCTTTGTTTATATAAAAGATATTGTTTATAATGTTTCTTAATATGATTTGTACATTTTTCGTTAATGTAGTCTTAATTTGTCTCGCCTGGGCATGATTGTGCTCTGAACCAAAAATCATATGTTTCCTGTTTTGGGAATGACTTAAAAAAGTGTCCTACACAAATAAAAATGAGAAAAGATCTTAAACTAAGAATGATTTATTTATTTATTGTAGTGTATTTACATTCTACTAATACTGACTTACTACTACTACTATTACTACTGACTTACTACTACTACTACTATTACTACTGACTTACTACTACTACTACTGAATATGTACTTGAACACATGGTTGGCATCCTGACCAAAAACCCAAAATAAAACTCCGACAAGATTTTTTTGAGAATGGACTGTAGGTCATAATCCTCAACATTATAACAAAGGCTTGACACTGAAGATTTGCCAATGGGACAGGCAAAATTATCTCGTTTTAAAAAGATACAAGAAATATCTCGCTTGAAATGAGAAATAAAACAAAGGTTCTGAAATAATACTAAACAGTTTGTCCCATTGGAAAATCTTCTTCAAAGAAAGTCAGTATGTACTCAAATAAGGATAAATACCACTCAATTCAAGAATTTATCACCTCATATTTAAATATTTTTGCAGTGTCTATCTTGGCCTATTTTGGTGAAGTGAGGATTGAATGAGGTTAAAACTGGAAAAACTGCGGAAATAGTAAGAAACAATATGCATGAAATACTATTTGTTGTACAAGTAATCCATATTTATTTTATCAGCGCAGAACGTGAACAAGTGCTTTCTTAGTGGTCTAATCTGTGGTAATCTGTGCGTCATGTAAAAAGCCTGTATGTATGTCCCATTAAGAATACATGATCATTATAGAAGCTGATCTTTTGTCGAACAGCAGATGTGACCGAGGCCACAGCGGGTCAAACTGGGTCGTTCCCTTTTTATATTCTTCCACAACAAAACCAGATCAGACGTAAATGATAACAACAAACAACAACAGAAAATATAATGCTCTTACTCCATGTTAATTACTTCCCCTTGTGCCGTATTTCAGTTCATTGCAATACATATTTTTATTTTTATTTGATTGACTCTTATTGCACTGTTAGGAACATCTGGAAGGACAACAGTCTTTTTGCAATATAGACACTTAAATGAACATTAACTGTAAAACTACCCAGCCCTAATTTATCTTTCCCCCAAAACCAGTCCATGTGTCCACTCTCCTGCCCCATTGGAAACTAGCTGTATCGCTAATATTAGCTCATTTACAGTAATGTTGATTAATGTGCACCGTCCTTTTTCAAATAAATAAAATAAAATAAACACAGCAGGAAATCTTACATCTGATCGTTTTTCTCACAAAGAGCAATTGATTTTCAAAGGGGCAGCTGCATTGCTCACAAATAAACGCATCAAAGCTTCCGCTATTATGATCAACTTAATGTAGCAGGTCGAAACATTGAAACACATGCAAGTCCATAGAGGAAGGAGGAAGGGAAGTCATTGCTAATATTGTGAAACAGTAAAACTCTGGAAAATTAGAACATCTTTCAAAGTTAAATTCTGTTGTTCAACTTACAATGTGAAACCACCAATTGATATAGACTCATTGCAGTCTATATAGACATATGTCAATCCTTTGTTTGCGATAATGTTGATGACTATACAACATTACAACATATATATATATATATACGTTTGAGTCAGTTGTCAACATTGTAACAACTAAAGGCCTGGAATATCTCACTTTGCTTATATTGAGTCTGTCATATTCATTTCATATTATATACTTAATTACAGAAGTATGGACTACTTAACTATTTTCTAACTTGGAAAACAAGAGCCTGAATCTTCCGATACTTTTGGTATTTATTCTTCTGACTGTTTCTCACCTCATCAATTGGACTATGTCTGGTTTTCCATGTTACAAGTTACATGTTGAGTAAACATAATGGATATACCGCGGGCAGGAAAAGTGGTTGTTGATCAAATTTCTTGGACAAACTAATTCAAAGCTCCATAAACAAGCATAACATTCTGCATTAAAGCTGTAATGAAAACAGATCTCAAAACGTTTTAAACTAATCTAAGGGTTTAGGCCTTTGAAGAGACTCAAGACAATATTCCAGAGAGGCCACAGAGACACAGAGAACGCATCTGATACATCTGGAACCTCTGTATTATGTAGCTGTTGTCTTTAAGTATACATTCATTTTCCGTAACCCGATTAATCAGTGATTTAATATGAAAGTGCTCATATCACATATCAGTCCATGCTGCTGCCTGTTTCCCAGTACATTTAAACCACATCTGGCTTGAACCCACTGCAGCCTGTTTGACAGCGGTGAATACAGGAGCAGCCTGTGATTACAGGTGCTTTTATCAGCTAATATCCGGATTACAGCATGTTCCATCCACACAGCTTTCTGTGGCCGAGAGAGACCAGGTTCTCGTGGGATTGTCCTCTTAATCTGGCCTTGAATGGAACGCCCCCCCCCCTCCATTCCCACATCTGCACCATCAGGATTTACTCATGTAATCCTCCATTTGAGAACAATTTTATTATGCTTTTAACGCTGATGTGCGGCAGTTTAATTAATAAATGCAGCTTTCAGCAGTGGAGTAATTACACATGTTAGATTAGCCAGACAGCTGTGACCGCTGCTCCACTTAGGGCTATAGGCTCTTTATAGAGCACTATTTAAAATGCACTTTAAAGCATTCATCAATACAGGCGATAGGCAGGAGGAGCGTCTTGTACAATACTTCAGCAGTGCAATGTTGGAGAAGCTATTGAGGCCAGAACTGCCTCTGAGATGTAGAAGAAATTGAGGTAAATTGCAGATAGAGTTACAAAGAAAGTGTATGCCTGATCAGAAAGGGACCCTCAAGACAATGGGATGAGACAAGTCCTGCCCAGTCTAGATTAGTGTTTATAATCTCCTCAGGAAAATTCTCTGCAGTTGACCCATCCTGGCACAAGGACAACCTGAAATCAAAGGAAAAAAACACCTCATGCATGTTTTAGACTCAATGGGGAAAGCACAGTGCCCAATGGAAATCCACCAAAAGGCTGGAGCAGTTTTTTTGTCTTATCCAGTCTAGTAAAGTCCATCCAGTTAATTTAAAGTCTGGCTGTGCTTCTGTAGAAGGACGTAAATAAACTAACTTAACGTCCCTTTCTCAACAAGAAGTCAACAAGGGTGGTTCAAATAAAAAATATATTTTGAAGGCTTATAGTTAGATGGTAACTCTCTTGCAGCATGGAATGTGAGGCGATTTCTTTTCAGTTTCTCCATGTGTCTTGGCAATCCCCTTTGAGGACATCATTTTCCCATGAGATAATGTAAACATCCTCCACCTGTGGTCCAGAATGTAAAAGGCTCACAATCCATCTTTATATGAAGCATTAGAGGACAAATGTTTACCGTAACCCTAACTTATCTGCTTCTACATTTTATCTTCTTTTTTCTGTATATTGTGTCTTTATCTGCAGTAGTCTGTGTAAAGTCATGCTCTGCAATCCGGCACTAACATCAGCATGCAGCTAACACCAGGCGCTGCAGCAGATGTCAAAAACCATGCTGTAAAAATGTCAGATTAACACAAAGGGGCACTTTAGCAAATCCTGATTATGGGAGCACTTTCATTTATTAAAGTCTGCCAATCCCCTGTTCTCTTTTGGAGCTGGATTAAAAGCAGGTAGACACCATTGTCATCTAAACAATCCCTCTTTAAGCTGTTTCCCTGTGCTTTGTATAATCGCACCGGAGCTTATGGGTCACTACAAGCACTACATT